GCCATTTTTGTCTGCGTCTTCAAGCTACGTGTAATTTGACATCACGTCCCATGAGCCAAAGTACAAACTCCATCAAGTGCCGATGGTGACTGCCGTCGTTACGTTGATGTCACCTTCGTGATACCGTACTGCCCCCACTACATCAACGCATCAATCTTCAATTTTCTATTATTCATTATTTTGTACCATTAAATGATTATACACGTTTTGGCAAATACTTTTTTTGGGTTGTTTTCTTGTTTGACAATAAATAAACGATTATAGGTCACTTACCAGCGTAATTTTGGGCGTCGCTTAAAAAAATAAAAAAATCTGTTTAAAAAATAAATATACAATTTAAAATATCCCATAAGACTAATGTAAATATTGACATTTTTAGTTTTTTAAACACGTTTAAAACACTGTTTTTAACAAGTATTGTTAAAACATAACATCCCTGGTTTGAACGTGCTAAAAGAATTATTAATTCAGCACATGCTCACCTCTGTTTTCATACCACGTTTCTGTGGTATGAAGTGTATCAGTAAGTTTTATCTAACCAACAAGTTTCTGTACTTTCAACGTGTTCTACGTACAACTACACACAGTAGTGTGTTGATATGTATGATCATACAATATGAATACCATTTACTCAGAACATTGCTATTAGAACAATATGAAGAAGGTTAATATTATTCTACAGATCTGCCATTACTGCTGTCTCAAGCAGAGGATTCAATTAAAAGTTGCATTTTTATAAGCTCGGATAACTCAGTCGTTATACAGCTCATGTGATACATGAAGAGGGCTAGATAGCCTCATTCAGCACACAAACATTAGAGAGAGAATTATTTTGTATTTCCTTTTTTCACAAGGCAACTACATCATGAAATATATGTATATGATCCTTATTTCTAAAACTATTGACAATAACCATTAATTTAGCAGTATTTTGGCTCAACAGAATTATTACTCATACGATGTGTAGAATAAAACGTAACATTTGTTATAATTCAAATAACAAAAATTAATAAAATAAAAATAGTAATATGCTAGGTATGGGTTTTTGTATAAGGTAAGAACCTGATGTTGTGGTTCTATCGGGGTCATATGGTTCGAGGGTTTAGAACGACAAAGACAAATAGATATAAAAATAATAAACGCAAGTAGTAATGGTATGATGCGTTTTGGCCTTCAGAAGTGCCGACAATTTACGTCATCTATTGTTCTCGGTAAACAATGGGTGCACAGGTGAGATGCAGTCCGTGCTGGTGACGTCACAATGATTGTGTGATAACCCAAGGCAAACCAGTGGCGGTGACGTCAAAATGACGTCGTATACGACGGTGTAAGCCAAGTTAGCGTGAGGGTGCCATAAGTGATGATGTCAAAATGACGTTTCCTATGGGAGTCCCTTTCGGGTGACGATTATCATGCCGCCGGGGCCCCAGTGAAAGTGCTGACGTTGCATACTATGTACGTTGGAACCCAGCCCTAGCCGACCATAATATTATTAATTAATGTATATTAACTAATTATTTAATAAAATTAAATAATTTTCCAAGTCTGTATATACGCCATACAGTGTCTACGTAATAATTTGTTTGGTAAACAATGGTTGCACAGGATCTACTCAATGTCGGGTCTATCAAAAAAAAAAAAAGTTCATTTTCCAGTGTAGGTACACGCTAACGGTTCAACGTGAGTATAGTACGCGTCGAGTCCGCACGTTTAATATGTCACAACCCTATATACAGCTTTGTTAATTCATCCCCGACGCTGTTGTTTAAGTTTAAGTCGATATTTTGTAAATGCTGAGTACCCCTTCCATGTGGTTCCACTACACATTCAAGACATTCCGACAGTCGTTGTATTTGATAAAAACCATCGAATACGTGCATAATGCGTAGGCGCTATATTTCATAGCATACTACTAGGTCGTTTGTTATACATGTTATTCATACTATGTAATGTTTAATACAACCGTTGACAATGTGTATTTCTTTTAGACATAACTACTAATATACTTTCGTACTAGTAAAGAAAGATGTATAGCCACTTCGAATACTTTGAGAAAAACGAATGTTGGAAAAACTCGTTTGTAATTTTTGTTAACCTTGAACAATTAGTCATTAGTATTTATAAATTTTAATATAGAATAAAATCACTGTAGAGACTGTAGGACGTCTCCTTCTTTCAAAAAACTTATATACATCTTTTTTCCTTAATGTTGTTTAGTCATCGATATATCTTATCAAAGAAATATTTTACGATAATTTTGTAGTAAATAAATAAAATATAATAAGGTTAAGGTACTAAAATAAATAACACATTCCTTTTTTAATAGTAAAATATATATTCAAGTAATCATTAGTATTTTATAAATATAAAATTTTACATTATTTTTAGAAAAAAAACAAATTATAATATTTTATGAACTTCGTTTGTCATAGGGATGTATTCAAACATTTTATAATATACAATTAAACATTATGTAGTGTTGGTCAGAAAATTTTCATCGGATTCAAAATCTAATCTAATATCAACTGTCAAATTTTTCAGAATAACATGATTGTTTTTCTTTAAGAAATTCATAAACTATACTTGTCATCTCTTTTTAATCTTATCTTAATAATAAAACACAATGTGTAAAATCCTAAACGTCTTATAAAATATCAAAGTGAATTGTATATTATTTGAATGTATTAATTTATATATTTGATGATATTTTATATATTAATTTCTATATTTTATGATTACTTGTCAATAAAATAATTAGCTATATACATATAGCTTATATATATAAAAAAAAACTAAAGGGATTTTCTCCTACCGATTATCACCTTTATACGTGTAAAAAAAAAAATTATTTTGCTATATAACTGGAGAAACAGCATATATACGTTTAATAATTCGTTTTCATGTGTTCTACTAGTTTCTTTATGTTCATCAGTCTTATTTTTTAATACAGAAGATCGAAAATCATTAATAACGTAAGTAATATATAGTTACTTTTTTCAAAGTAAAATAACTTTGACAATGATATTTTTTTAAATTTTTAGTAAAATTATTTCAGTATATTCCTTGAGTTACATTTCAAATTGGGGAGAGATAATTCAAAAATCGTGTTCAAGTATGCTATATTTTACATATTTATATATTTCTTCTGAAGCAATGTTTGTAAAAATAATTTTTAATCTTTAGGAAGATATTTTCACTGTGTTCATTTGCAAATATTGAAAAGAAATTTTCCATTGAGGTTTAAATTGCTCTTTTTGTTTAAGAATAAAAATCACAGTAAGTTAATAAAATTTTTGTTACTAAACTCTACTATTCAGTTCGAAGTGTACATTAGGGTGGCCCTCAAAAATCGAATGTCTTTTTTTTTTTTACGCTACCCCTTAATTTTTTTTTAATGGTCAAAAAAATGAGCTGTGCAAAATTTGGGACCGATCCGTTAAGGTTAACCCGTGTCCTTGGGCCTATTAAATTAAGTCGAAGAGTCAAATTTAATAGAAATAACTGATCTATGTCTCATAACTTTTTTTTCTCTTAACTTAGAATAATAAAAGTAAAACTCAAGTAAAGGAAAT